TTTTGCAAATCATCAATCATTGAAGGATAAAGACAAATGGAATATATGATAGAATCATAGAAGAAAGTTTTTGTTATGACAATATTTTTGTTAATTCAAACTTTTGGATTATTTTATGTGATCAGACTTGAAATGTTTGTAAATATTGAAACCTAACATATGTAATAGCATGAATTTTATTTATTAATACATGGTAGGTTGTTACACGTCAATTCTTACGTAACGTAAGGATTTTACATAAACTATAATTATTTAGGAGAGTTTATTAGTAAAAATAGATACAACATTATTTTTATCTAACTTTCCTAAAATAAAAAACCAATAAAAAGTAGAAAAGGAAAAAGGTCAGAAGGTAGTGATGCCTAAAGATCTAAATATCAGAATAGCTATCAATATTAATTGAATACATTTTGACCTATCCTTATTTTACACGGAAATTTTAATTAAAATAATTATTTTAGGTTTATGGTTTCACCTATTCTCCAAGCTCTCGTTTATCAAACATATATCTGGTAAGTGCTTACCGATAAAATTTAATAATATTATGTACTTATCGCGTAAGATTTTAGTCCACAAAAACGACATAGTATACAATAATTTACCTAGTAAGCGTTTACCGTGGTAAGAGTCGTCGCCCTCACTTATCGGGTAAGACTTTTGATCTTTGTCTCGTTCTTACCGGGTAAGATTCTTGGTCCTTACTATATTCATCCGGTAAGGTAATGTTACTTGGTAAGCACTTACCTGGATAAGCATTTGGTAAAGGCCTCTTAATTGTTTGTGAGCAATCCATCGTGACAAGTCGACCGATCCATAATTTATGGAGGGGTTAAGATATAGAAAAATGAAGTTTTTGAAAGTGGCTCGCAAATTGCAGTTGGGTTTTTCAAATTTACATATTTGATTCATGTAATTACAGACTTGGTTCAAAAATTACTTTTCTTTATACTTTGACCTCTCCACAAAATATGAACTTTCCACTTATGGAGCTATGACTATTTTGATGATGCCTGGAGATAAATGGCTAAGAAATGAAAGCATATGATTAAAATGATAATTTTAATTTAATTTTTTTTATGATGTGATTTTGTTGTGATAATAAGGTCGATAATTCTTTGATAAACTGAAAACTTTCTTATGATGTGATTTTGCTGTGATAATGTTGTGATAAATCGAAAACCAGTGATGATCACATCCAAGATCATTAGTTATGTCTGTTCATTATATGATCTGCCTTTTTTCTATTTTAGCAATGCATTTATTCAATATTTCTAAAAATGGTAAATTTTTATTTAATATTTTACAACCCACTTAATTCTTCTAAAATTATGACTTAAAACATAATAATGGATTTATAAATGTTCTCACATTTATGTAAAATCATATGTGTTCATGTTTGAATCTTCCCTACAATAATATATTATAACTTTACGAGCACAAATATAACATATTATAATTTATAAGTGAAAATTGATTTTTTTAAAACATCTTAAGATATAAACACATTCCATTTTGACATGATTTTATGTTTAAAAATTGATGGTTTACGTATTTTATATATCTTATTTATAAAACTCCGAATTATTTTTTAGATAATCAATGTGTGTGTGTATATATATATATATATATATATATATATATTTTATTAACATGGATATCCAACCCGCTATGCGAGCCGACTAACCCAGGGCGACCACCTACTTTACAGATAGCCCGGAGTCACCGCATTTGAACCTCCGTGGCCACAAGGGAATTTTTATTTCTCCTTGGATTTGAACATGTGACCTTCTGGTACTTTTGACCTTTAGAACCAAGCTCAAACCAATCAGGCACCATCCTTGTGGTTAAATGTATATTTATATTAAAGTATGACAAAAACCAGTAAAATACAACGACTATTTTACATGTTTTTGTTTGATACTGTTCTTTAAGAGATGTTAAACTAATGATGTTTTAATATAGTTGTGGGTTTAGCTTAACTGACAATAAGAGTTGGCCTTTTAGGGGTTCTTCTCAGAAATCAACAGTTTGAATCATGCAAGATAACTAAGGATTTACTCATTGTTCTTCAAGATTAATCGAGGTGCACGTAACTGACCTGGATATCAGTGGTGTGAGAAAAAGTTATTTTGACCCACTTATATGGACATAAAGACTCCATTTTTAGTTGAGTTGTTTTTATGTGACTAATTATTCTATAATTTAACTGGATAAAAAATGCAAAATATACTTTATAAAAAAGAGCAAGTAAATTATAGTGTAGGGACCATTTTTGTAATTTAGCATAAATAGGTAAAAAAAGAAAAGAAAGACAGCAGAAAAAACAAATAGAAAATAAGCGGTGACGCCCCTAGTCTTTGTCTACATGCCTAAATAGCACCCACCTTAAATCAGGGGTCCCTCTTTTGCTTTCAATTCCAAAAAGAAACCTTTGCCTTTTTGGTTTTACAATTTTCTTTAATTATTTATTGGGTAATCATTTATTAACAAGAATCATCTTTTTTACTTACCTTATCAGATAATAATTTCGGTCACGAGAATGTTTATCCGATAAACGTTTACTGGGTAAGAGTCTTATCATTCACTTACCAGGTAAGATTCTCGGTTTTTGATATCTCTCTTACTGAATAAGATTCTTGGTCTTTGTCATATTCATCTAATAAGACAAGTGACATCTGATATGCATTTGATAAACTGAAAAGATATAAAATTACTTTTTATATTATTAACAAATGTTTTAACAATAAGCAAAAATCACATGTGAAGTTTAAATTTGATGTCATTTGTTCACCAATTATTGTAGTAAGTTTATTTAAGATCTATAATTATCAATTATTTAAATACTTGTTCATTTGTTGATTATATATATATATATATATATATAGACTTGGGATCATGTGAGACCAAGTGTTTTTTCTAAGACCCGTAAGACCAATTCTTAATCATTGGATTAAATCTACAATCTGAACATTCATAATCACAAAATTGCCACGAGACTTCCCAATAATCATAAAATTGTCACCGTGCAACTTTAGACCATTAGATCATTAGCTTATAAAATTGATCAATGAACATAAATTGGTTTTACGAATCTCACGAAAAACTTTTGGTCTCACGTGAACTCAACCCCCCCCCCCCCCACATTCACACACACATATATATATATATATATATATATATATATTACATAATTAGATTAATTTTGGTCAAGATGGTGGGTTTGACCCATTTATATTTGTTAGTTAGACCGAGTTGTAGATACTTTTAATAAGATGGTTAAAATAAACCTTAAACAAACACAATTCTACAAGATAGATGCTCTAATCTTATCTATAATACCAACTATTAAGAAATATTCAAACAAAATAAAATGTTAAAATAATCAATCAACGACGACCATTATGGTATTGTTCTTTAATTTTGTCTAGAGGTGTGCAAAAAGTTATCGATTACAACTAGAACTGATCGATCAAAACGGGATATATGTCGGTCAGATCCAAAACTTAAGCATCCATATTGGATCAATCTTTTCTTGGAATCTAGCTTGACGGCCTTATTGGTTGGATAATAAAATCTGTAAATGTTAAATCCTTTTGAAATTGATTTTGGAAACATATTTTGTTTATTTAGTTTGAGAAATTTCTAAGGATTTTAGTTGTTTGTTAAGAGTTTTTTAAATCTTGTGTCTCAGTAAATGTTAAATCTTTTAAGATAGAAAACATATTTCATCTGTAAGATTATATTTTCTTAAGTCCTTTTAAATGGCACATAGGTGGTGTTTAGATTTTTCTTGTATATGATATTTATATACAACAAATAGAACAAATAAACGCACACCCTCTTCACCTTGGTGAGATTTGAACCTCTGACCTCAGAGGTATGGGTCCTGAGAGCATCTCCAACATGTATGCTATATTTTCTCTTTTTTCTTCTAAAATTTGGAGATTTCTCCATTTTCTCTCTTTTTTCTCTATTCCAGAGAAAAGTTTAACATAACTATTATTGCAAAAAAAATTCAATCTCCAATTTTTTAAAATAACATAACTGATTAAGATGCTCTAATAACTTTCCCATTTATTAGTTGAAAGCCTAAAAGTGTCATTAGTCAAAACATATGATTTTCGAATTTACTAGGATCCCATTGTGACTTTAATTCAAAATGGAGGATTAAAATGTAAAGTTTTATATTACAGGGGGTAATTATGTCCATTATTAAGCCTGTTGTGCAATTTTTAGTCCAACAACTAACCTTAACCAAATTAGGTTCAATCGCAAATCAATTGAAACAAACTTGGACCGTTTCTTCCCAACCCGACACTCTAACCACGTATATTTCTTTTCAAACAAACTTGGTTGGTAACCGTTACAACGATTCAAGATTTGCTTACACCATTTTTCTTTCACAAACCGGATGATGCCTCATTTCTACATATTTCTCCACAATAATTAATATTTACATAGCGTAAATTGTCCCAAATCCATAGTCATCACTTAAGAAATGATAGCTTTAGGACCATTAGAGATGTTTGTGAAACATTTAGGGGCCGTTTACCAAACGCTTATCTGAGTAAGTGTTTATCAAGTCACGTTACCTCACCGGATGAATATGACAATGCCCAAGAATCTTATCCGGTAATAGTGAAATAATGACCAAGAGTCTTACCCGGTAAGTGAAGGCGACGACTCTTACCACGGTAAACACTTATCGGGTAAATTGTTGCATACGATGTTGTTTTGATGGACTAAATCCTTACCCGATAAATAAATAATAATGTTAAATTTTATCGGTAAGCACTTGCCGGATAAATATTTAGTAAAAAACAAAATCAGTTTTATCATAATTTAGAAATAAGAAAAAGATATGATAATATGATTAGTTTGAGAGGCATTTATTTGCATTAAAACTTTTTGCTTTAAAAGGATAAAAAGCAGAGTCTTTTTGAGCATCCTATAATAAAGACAATCTCATAGCACCTCGTCAGATGGGTTCCACATTATTCACCCATCTAATCTTCTCATACGAATGATATCACCACCCGCGAATATCTCCTCCTCCTCCTCCTGCAGCCGTCCGATCGAAAACGACCCCTCTGACACTGCTCGAGTGACTTCCAGCCCAAACGAGGACAACACTTTCACCTTCTTAAAATATACTATCTATCCCTCTATTTTCACACACAAACACATTACTTTTTTGTGAAACTTTCTCTGGATTTTGGGGAAGAAGAAGATGAACAAGTAGAAAGTCAAATCTTTTTTTGGGGTTTCTTGGGAAAAGGATCTTTCTTGCGGTGAAGTTTGATTTTCTTTGTCTGTGTTCCCACCGTCCACCGACACACTGTTCGTTTTGAAGAACCCCTTTGAAGTTTGAGTGTTTGCATCAGGTAACTGTTCGACTAATTGCCTCAGTGAGTAATTTTCATGAATCAGTAACTAATTGCTCGCTATTATGCTTTATGTCGTCTTGTTCTTATGTTTTTTGATAATTCTGAAAGAAAACTGATGATATGCAAAAGGAAGAGGTTTCCCATTCGTTTTATTATACACCAAAATTAAGACTAAATCGAAGATACATTCTTTAGAAAGGGAGTAAATTCTTAACCTTTTTAATTTTAATTTTTATGGCCAAAGGAACACTTTTTATGGGTATTTCTTGCTTTTGAAGTTGAATCACAACTTGAATCTGGGTCTACTTTAGAGTGTATGTTTGTTGATGCATCCAGAGAATTTTTTATACTTAAGTGGAAGCAAAAAGGAAAACTGAAACCACCATGTGCTCAAACCCTCTTAATTTATTTTCCACTCAATTGCTTTTGCTGCTTTTTGATTATTGTTTCACCCTGTCTCAATCAAAGGTTCAATATTCCAAATCTCTTTTGAATTGTTATACGTATTTTCACCAGGGAATCTTATTTATGGGTTTTTTGTGAAACACAATAATTTTATCATCTTATCTTCAACACCCATATTAATGATTTATTAGGACCACCAGATTCTCAGTTTCAGTTTCTTTCTTCAACTTGTCTTTTTGTAGCCTGTCTTTAAGTTGTAGTTAAGCATCTTGAAAATCTAAAACAACTTAATGATATGGCTCAATGAAGCTTTAATTTTGTTCTGGAGATGGTTGAAGCTAATGCACTGAACTCTAGTGTTCTTGTTCATAAAAATTGCAACTTTTAAGACCCAGGTAGAAAAACCATTTGGATGCTTGTTTCACGAATTTTGTATAGCCGATATCATGTAAATGCCTACGAAATTTGCTTCCTATTGGTACTTTTAGCTTTAAATCTTGTTAAAATAAAAAATGTACCTTTCATAAACTTCTCAGTAGTATTTGGTATTTTGAAGCAATAAAATTTCTCTACTGTAACTGGGGAAGAGGACCATAAAGGAGAATGTAGACCATTAGTTTTCTGGGTGGTCTCTATTAAAAGTTTTGCTCAAGGATCAGATTGATAGTCTTTTAGTAATCCATTCCAGTTATAAGAAGCAAAATCATATGTTCTGAATTGAATCATGTAGCTGGTACCAAAAGTAAAGAAACAAAATTTTCGCTTTGACTTCAGTGTTATTCAGTTATGGTATACCTTCATTTCTGGCTTGTTCTACGAGTGATTAGTCTTTTGAACTTATGGGAAAATAGCAAAAACAAACACGAGCATTTTGTTCGCTATTTTCTGCTGCAATGCCTTTTCTCCTCTTTCCTGGCCATGTTCAGCTTTCGTAAATTAGAGTCTTCACTTGCTTAGTAGTTTAGTCTATAATTAGCGTAAACAACTTGTTTCAATGTTTCGATGTTGCATCTTACCTGATTTTGAATCTTAATCGTTGTTTTCAGAAGAGATATCCCTCTTGTAATTAAAAGCTTTGAAGGACAGATATTCTGGCAAAGAATGTAGCTCAATTCTGATCGATTTGCATGTTAAGTTTTGTTGCAAAATAACCAAAAGACGTAAATGGCTGATCCTATATCAAATCATGCCACATTGCGGAACAAGTTTGAATTGGAGAAATGGCACCGTTCCTATGCAGACTTCCGCTCCAAAGTTGTAAAGAGTTTACCGGAGATGGAAAAAGCCTCACCTTCAAACTGCAGCGAGAAGCAAAAAGCGCTGCACATGGAAGAGATTGTTAAACACATGAAGCATTTACCGAGCTATCTTGAGAGGGGAAAACCTATCCAAGATCAAGCTTTGAGTTTTGGAGTTATGGATTGGGGGCGGTTAGAAAAATGGCAAAATCTGCATCATAAACAGGGGATTGTTAGAAGTAACAAATGTTCACCATCTAGCAGCAATTCTTCTTCGTTGTTTTCAACTGATGGATCATCTCCTCTATCCGGAAGAGGTCAAAGTTGCTCTCCCGTTCGTCAGAGAGTTCATCGGGTAACTCTACAATCTCATTTTAAAGCATCTCCAAAAGAAGATTTCACTCCAAAAGTCAAATTGTCTTCAGGAAATTTCGACAAATTTCAAGATTTTAAAAATTCAAGAAGCCAATGTAAGCTATTGCTTGATGTGGGAAGTTGTCACACACCACCACCATCATCAGCCTCAAAGGGGAAGCTGAAGATCCGAGATGAGTCTGTAAATGAATTACGAAATGGTCAAGATCCATCTTGCAGAACCTGCAATGATGATCACCCGGAAAAGCATGAAAATGTGCTCTTTTTAGCTAGAAATGTTCCTGGAAGCAATCAAACAAATGGTAACACATTTCAGAGTGAATTTATCCACAGTAAAAACTCACAAATGGAACTCGATTCAGTCAGAAACCACAGCAGTCCCTCTAGAAAAAAGACCCCAGAAAGGAAAAGATCAACTGGTTCTTCCAAGAGTTCAGATCTTAAAACAAGCAATACTGCAGTTAGTAAACCGAGAAGTACATCCCCACTTCGTCGTTTTAGCTTTAGCCTTAGCACGAGCTCAAAGTCTGCAGCTCCTAAATCTGCTACAGAAAGAGTGGGGTCTCCAGTTTCTCAACATTCAACCAAGGATAGCAATAGGGGTCATTCTAGTCCTTTAAGGAGGTTATTGGATCCAATCTTCCCACCAAAGGCACGCCAATTTGCTGAGACGTGCGATGAAGATTCAAGAACAAAAGCAAAAAAGAAACTGGATTTCAGAAACTCCAAGGAAATTAGGGCCGATGATTTATCATCATCAAAAAAGCAAGCTCTTTTTCAGACAGCTTTTAAGAATGGCCGCCTTTTGTTTACGTTTGCAGTTGAAAACAACAAGGATGTACTTGCAGCCACGATGACAAGTTTAAGTTCTTCAGGGAAAGATGATAACAAGAGCTGGCTCTATACGTTCTTCACTGTCAACGAGGTGAAGAAAAAGAACGTCAATTGGTTATCTCAGGGCAGCAAAAGCAAAGATCATGGTTATGTTTCTAACGTGACTGCTCAAATGAAGGTTTCAAATCCATTTAGTTCTCACTGTGACATGCGGGAGTTTGTTTTATTCTCTGTGAATCCAAATGTCCAGCCACAAGAAGAACTGGAAGCCATTGTTGTCAAGTTTCCAAGAAAGGTGAACAGGGAAGATAATCAAGAAAGCTTTAGCACAACGGTTATTCTACCTGGTGGCAATCATGGCGTACCAAGTAAAGGAGAACCTTCACCGCTGATTGATCGATGGCGATCTGGAGGTGCATGCGACTGTGGGGGTTGGGATATGGGCTGCAGATTAAACACTCTCAGTAATCAGGTTCAGTCTAGTGGATCAAGATCAAACAAAGTTCACACGACTGCCGGTCAGTTTGAGCTTTTCTTTCAGGTATTTAGAACCATCCGATTCATTCCACCCAAATGAAATACTTTCTGCATACCTGTGTGTGCCTAGTTGCAATGTGTATGCTAAACGACTACAAAGCACCTTCTTCTAGCTTGTTTACTAAACAAAAGCAAAAAAATTCTAGTTGAAATTGTGATTACTTGCCATGATTATGCACTATATTAAAACCATATAATTGTGATATTTCTCAAGAATGCTGTGAGAATATGTGCAGCCCCATTAGATCACTCTCCAAAAGAGATTGGAGGTTCCAACATATATTGAGAAAATTTGGTCCAAGTCTAGTGTGAGGAGGCTAGACAAATATAGATTACCCCATAGTATCGAGTCTCAAGTGGTAGATGTTGGCTCTAATACGAAGTGATAATACGTGGAACCACATTAGATTCCTCTCCAAAAGAGCCCGTAAGGAGAGAATGGAGGTTCCCACGTATATTGAGTGGAAATGGTTGGAGTCTAGCAAACGTGGGACTGTAACAAAGGCAAAGGTTTTGACTGGCCAGTTCCATGGTGACAGTTGGACTTGGAGCCTGATTCGGAGTATACATGGAAGCATTATTTCGAAACAGTTAGAAAGACCGTCTTTCTTTTTCTTCTTCTATCTGGATTTCGATTATTAAGGGAGTTATGCTATTTGTTCTTTGATGTACTATCTAGTCCATGAAAATATTGATCTTGTCAATAATCTTTCAAATCGCTTCCACATAAACAATGTGTTCTATCGTTTGCTTCTTTTCAACTATTTTTGCGTAAATGTGATTATGGGAAGGCGTTTTATGGAATCCGCTGAAGCTTGTTAAATGGATGTCTTTTTGTTTGTTAACCGTGAGTGTCCACGCTATCTTGTGTGCACCTCAACCAATCCGATGGGGTCCTGAAGATGACAGTCAGGAAAATCCCCAGTGGCCCTAAGGAGACTCGATGGGATGTCTTTTCGGCCTCCTACATATATAGACACCAATGTGTGCTTGAACTTATTGTCTCCATAATTTATCAACAGGGAGAAGTTGGGAACAAGAGATCAATCTTCAGCCTCTCTCCATTGAAGGAAGGTATATTTTCAGTCGAGTATAATTCATCATTGTCACCTCTACAGGCATTCTCAATATGTATATCAGTTGCGGAATGCCGAAAAACATCTCAGCATACGGAACTCAGAACACATGTTCGCGAGGAGGTTCCTGTACCATATACCCCAACTCCATGCAAGTGGTAAGGTCCCTTGTTAGTAATATGAAGGTGAAGGGTTTGATTCATGGGTTTAAACAGTCTCCACAAAATACAATATTGCCAAGGTGCCTTTGTGCATCTTCATTCTGCATTTATGTAATTATTATGTATGAAATTTAGTGAAGCTTTGCTTGGCATCTTTGCATGATCTCTTGATAACCTTGTTTGAATCGCTCATATGAATATCGGAACCTATTTACCTGTGTTCTTTGGGTCTGCATACATCTCAGATGCTTCTGTTTGAATCGCCTCGTACGAATGTCAGAACTCATTTATCTATTTTCTTTGGGATGGATGACAGATAGGATATACTGGGTTTGTTTGGTTTGATGCTATCGACATTCTTTCTTCTTTATATAAAGGTTTCTATTGCCCATATTCTTAAAATGTTTTAACGTTTTTGGACCGGACCGGACCGGTTTCGAACAAATCTTTTAATTCTTAGTCTAAAATCCTAAATATCTTGACTTCTGGTTCTGGACCCACTTCAATTTGAAATTCTAAATGTAACCGTTGAGGTGTCTTGGGTGTTGTTGAGGTGTCTTGGGTGTTGGTTTTCCTTTTTCTGATTCCAATTTTTGATTTACCCCCTCCCTTTATTTAAGACTTTCAATTCTAACCCCTTCTTTTTATAATTAACAAAGGAACCCTTATAAAGGTTACTTCTTGAGGCCATTTTTGTAATTTCAATTTTTAAGTTTTTGGGTATAGATATAACAGTGGTTGCTGATTTCATTTACCAAAATCAACTGCTTGATGGTAAGATAGTCAACCAAATTTCGAGTTGTTTATATGGTTAACTTTATTTTAAGTACTTAATCGAACTTTAGTAGTTTTATGTCTCATATTTTAGTTTTGAAGGTCTAATTTTGAGTTTTAATAGATTTTTGAGTTGTTTTAAAACTCAACCTTAAAATGAGAAAACGTGATTCAATTATATTCGATGGTTTTCGTTGATTTTTGTTTATATGGTTGAGAAAATTGATTGTCTAGAGTTCTAACTAAAGAAATCATCAAAAACAATCAAAAGATAAAGGCTATACGATCATGCGAATTCGTTGCCGACGAGCTGGGTGTCGAGGGTTGTTGCCAATGTTCAATTAGGCCCGTTTTTAAACTTAGATTTATTTTAATTTAATATTGGACTTCAGAAGTCCATTTTTAATCAAATGAATTAAATTAAGAATAATTAAAGTTTATTTGTTATGTTTATTAATTAATTAGTTTCTTTTTAATCTAATTAATATATTAAACTAAATTTTTTAGTTATTTAATATATTAATTTATTTTAGAAAACTAATAATAATTCATTAATCTTTTCTTAATTGGTTTATTAAATTATTTAGTAATTTAGTAAACGTTTAAAGGTGTCGTACTTCGATATTATCAATCATTTAGGACATCTTAATTCGGAACATATGTTTCCTTTAGTTGTTAAAAGGATAAATCGACGTTAAAAGTCGTTATCGAATGTAGCACTTAGAAATTTACTAAATTATTTCGATGATTTAATAATTGGATTAAAAAAGCGTCGTAATTTGAGTCATCTATTTATTGGAATGCTTTAACTTAGAGCGATGGATTTATTTCATTATAAAATGATCTTTTTGTGTTTTGGGGCGTCATCGAGTTTTATACTTGGAGTTTGACTAAAGTTAGTTGAGTTGATCGTGTTGACCAACTGTTGACTTTTACCTCGTGTGACTCACAAGTATTTTGACGATTAGATCAAATGGAGACATTTGAGACATTAAGAAACCCGATTTGGGAGTTTGAATTTGGGATGAGTCAAGTTTGTTCAGTGTTGACTATTGTTGATTTTTAGAGAAATTAAGCCATTAATTGAATGTTATGGTATGAAATGTGCAGGTCTGGGTCAAGAGCTATCGGTAGTCGATCTACACGGGCATGTGAGTCTTCATGAGGATTACAATGGGATGCAACCTACGTACAAATTTATTTTGAGCATTATATGATTTGTACGGCATGTGTACGCATGCATAATACAATATATTTTACATGTATGTTATTTATGATCAGTTACATGTTATGTATTCATTTTATTTTCAAATAACTCTATCTTGCTATTTCATACGAAAGTTTTATGATTGACTTTAATGGGTGAGCATTTGTGCAATAAGTCGCACAACAAGTGGTACGACCCCATAATAGGTGCCTAGACAGGTACAGGTCGAACAACCCAGAGGATGCAGTGACCAAGTGACCCATATCCAACCAGACAGTTTATGAGATTTCTTTTCTTTCAGTTTTGCATGGGTTCTAGAAATGCATATTATATGGTATAGATTTTAGAAGTTGAATATGTATGATGTGAAATGATTTTATTCACGCAAACAATGAACTCGCTGAGGTTTATAAGCTGACTGTAGTATACATCTCAAGGACAGAAGGTTTCAGAACATAGAGATTTGCCTAGTCCATTTAAGTTCAATATTCATGTTCAAACATTTATGATATATAAATATGTAACACAATCCAGTATGGGATGAGTTATCATTAAGTTACATATTTATTGTTTTAAAGTTTTCCATTGTAAACAATTTTAATTTAGCAGTTATTTTAGAGTATCTGTGTAGAAATTGTTTCAGATGACTGACATTTCTCATGGTAAAATGAGGGTGTTACACCAACTAGCTGCATTGCACACTAACCGCAAGAATTCCTCTGACACCCCAAAATGAGGTAAATAAATAAATTAGAAAGCAAAAAGAACAAGGAAAATAAAAATAAAATGGGTTTTATTTTATTGGAAAATAAAAATAAAATGGGTTTTATTTTATTGGAAAAAAAAATATATATATATATATATATATATATATATGTATTTGAAAATTGGATATAAAATGAAGGAATATGTCATATTAGGGGTGAAATGTGTAAAGATGTCAAAAGTAATAGAGCCAGGGGGCCGAATGCTATTTTATAATAGTTAAGGGTTGGGTCAGAGGTTAACAGGTCCAAACCAGAAGGACCTCTTTTGTAAATATGCATCAGATTTGTAAATTCAGAAACGCGAAAACGACACTTTGTTTGAAGCCTTCTTTTGGTCTGAATATTCAACTATTACAACAAAAAAGTTACATATACATGTATACAACACTTTGCTCTACATTTTTGCTTCAAGAAAACTGAACTTTCGTTGAGTTTCGAAAGAGAAATCGGAGGTCGAAGTTCAGGTTCGAAAAGCTTCGTTTATTGAAGATTGGAGGTAAAATACTCAACCAAATTTCGAGTTCTTTATATGGATGGCTTCGTTTTTAGGTCCTCTATGAAACCTTAGTAGCCTTATGTCTCAGATTTTAGTTTTGAATGTTCGATTTTGAGTTTTTTACTGATTTTCGAGTGGTTTTAAAACCGTAACTTTAAACGAGCGTAGGAGACTCAATAGTTGATGGTTTTCGTTGATTTTTGTTTCTATGATTAAGGAAAATCATTTTCTAGAGTTTTTGCAAAAAGAATTATCAAAAACTTTGAAGAAACGAGGGCTAGGGACCGTTTTCCGGTCGCCGGTGCTGTTGGGGAGTGTAGGAGCCATATGGGCTTGATGTGGCCATCTAGGCCGTTTTGTTTGAGCTTCACTTGTATTATGGTTTGTTTTATTTTTTTGGGCTTAAGATTTAGTCCATGTAACATCTTGGGTATATTTGGGTAATTAATTTAACCATGCCAAATTTAACAAATTAGTATATTATTCCATTTTATTATATAGTATAAGTTATATTGTTTAATTAATATATAAAAAAAAAATATTATGTTATTTAACTAACATATTAATTTATTTTAGAGAATTAATAGTGATTAATTAATCTTTTCCTAAGTGGTTTATTAAATTGATTAGTAATTTAATAAAAGTTCTCTTAGTTGTTGAAATTTGATTTTATCAGTTGTCTAATACATCTTAATATGAAACATAGGTTTCATTTAGTTGTTAAAAGGATAATCGACGTTAAGAGTTGTTATCAGACATAGTATTGAGAGGTGTCTTAAATTATTTTGATGATTTAATATTAAGATTTAAGTGTCGTATTTCCGAGTTAATCAATTATAGAGAAGCTTTAAATTAGAGAGTTTGATTTATAAGATCATAAAATATTTATTTTGATGTTTTAAGACGTTGTCGAGTTTTAGTCATGGGGTTTGACTAAAGTTAGTCAGGGTTGACTTTTGATATGTTTGACCCATGTGGATTTTAATGATGGATCAAATAGAGTTGTCTGAGGCATATTAAGATGCTCAGATATGAAGTTTGACTTTAGATTGGGTCAGAATGACAATAGTTGACTTTTGTTGACTTTTTGAGAAATTAAGACGTTAATGAGATATTATGGTATGAAATGTGTAGGCATTTGGTCAAGAGTTATTGGTAATCAATATATACGCAATCAGGTGAGTCTTCATGAGATTTCACTGGGATGCATACCTAAATACAAATTTATTTTTGCATGATATGAATTGTTGATGATGTGTATGTATGCATGATATTTCAATTACATACATGTTATGATATATTTTACATTATGTTATTTTGTGAATGGTTACATGCTACGTGTTTAATCAGTCTTCGAATAACTCTAGCATGCTATTCCATATTAAAGTTTTATGATTCAAGGATGGACATTGACCAGTAAGTCACGACCAATATAAAACACGACCCGGACAAGTGGGTGATCAATTAAGACTGACATATCAACCCAGGGCGTGTTTGTGACTAAATGACTCATATCCGACTAAACAATTTAATGAGATCTTTTTTCTTTCAGTGTTGCATGTTTTTCAGAAAWTGCATACTATTTGGTACAAAGTTTACAAGTTGAAATGTATGATGTGCAATGATTTTTACTCACGCAAACCATGAACTCACTGAGCTTTATAAGCTGACTATAGTATGCATCTCAGGGACAGAAGGTTTCAGGTTGGACAAAGAAAAAAGAAGAGCATACATAGAGACTTGTCTAGTCCATTTAAGTTCAATATTTAGGCGCAATCGTCTATGATATATAAATTTGTAAAGTAACCCGGTATGAGACGGGCTGACATTAAGTTATATATTTATTCTTTTAAAGTCTTCCGCTATAAACGGTCTAAAGTTTTAATTTAACCATTATTTTTGGAGTG